TGTTGGGGCTCCTGTGTGGCGCCGCGGCGGGGGGCGGCCGGCGGCGGGCGGCCAGCCTGGGGGAGATGCTGCGGGAGGTGGAGGCGCTCATGGAGGACACGCAGCACAAGCTGCGCAACGCGGTGCAGGAGGTGAGGGGGCGGCGGGAGTGTGTATGTGTGTGTGTGAGGGGAGGGACACCCGGCGGGGCGGGAGGCCCCTTCTCCCCTCACAGTCCCTGAGGCCGCACCTGCGGGCAGCGCCGTCGTCCGTTCCTGTCAGCCGCCGCCTCTCCGTGTCCCCCGGGAGGGACCGAGCCCACGCCTGCGACGAAGGAATCCGGCGGCTGGCCCTGCCCAAGGGGGGGGAGGGAGTTGAGGAACCGCTGCCCCGGGCAGGGGAGAGCGGGAAAATCCCTTCAGCTCGGTGTCCCCCGCCCGCCGCGGCCGCCCTCCTCAGGCGGGGAGGCGGGACGGTGCGGGGGGTCCCGGCGCTGCTCTCTCCTCTGCCTCAGCCGCTATTTCTGCTCGCCGTCGGGCTGGCCCGCCCCGCTTCTCCCATCGGGGCCACCTGCGCATCCCCGCGGCTCGGGGTTCGCCGTCTGTCTCTGTCTGTCTGTCTGTGTGGTAGCGCCGGGGGCCGCCTCAGGAGACCATCCTCTTGCAGCAGTGCAGGCAGGTTGTGAGGTAAAAATGCAAGCAAATGGTCCGTGGAATCCTCCAGTGAGAAAATAACAGTGCGTGGCAAGGGGAGGAGTGAAGAGAAGACTTATTTTATTGTCTTAGTGTGATCTGAGACACAGGAGGTTACCCCGGCCCGGGATTCACAGGTGTAGGGCAGTCCTGAAAACCCTGTGGAGAAGCAGCTCCCTTCCATGTCTAGATCCCACATTCCTTGCCCAGAATCACACAGTACCTGTTTCCAAGCCAAGAACTGAGTCCAGACCCTGAGTCCCTGTCTCCTGTCGCTGTCAAGGACCTTATTCCTCCATTCCCCTTACTTCTGCGCTTTTTCACCCTTCGTTTTAAGAATCTTCCTTCAAAGTTCTCTTTTCCTCTCATTCAAAAACACAGAGTCTGATAAAACCTTTTACTGACAACCCACTGGGGAAACAGACCTTTGTTTACTTTAACTAGATAGTTTCTGAACTTTTACTGTCATCTGGACAGTTGCTGAAATCTACCTCCTTCATCCACTTCATTTAGACTGCAAACCCACTGAGACAAGCCATTTTTTGGAAATATTCTTTACAGTGCTGAAAATCTACTTAGTTATAAATAAGGAAGTGATCAAAATTTCTGCCTGTTTTACTCTTCCTGGAATCATTTCTGGATTGAGGAATGGTCTGTATCCAGCACAAAATGTGGATTATCTGAGCTGTGTCTTAGCAGATACACTTAGCTTTACACTAAAAAGATTTACAGCTGTCATTTAAAATAAAAAAAAAAGGATGCACAGGAAACAGAAATTCTGACTTGGGGAAAAAAAAAAGCTGTTGTTCAGCCTGGATGAACTTGTGGCCTCCTAGCTCTGGTAACAGCAGTTGCGAATAACAAAGTGACACAATTTATTCCGAGTTTGTGTTGTTTACAAGACTCATGCCCTTTTGCTGAGCATACTCTGCTGATTCAGGGAACGCTCCTTCTCTGCGTTGAGTCTTCATCTGGCAAACAAAGAACTGAAAGAGAGAATGAGATTCTGGGTGTGTTGCACCCTAGATCTATAGGACTGCTTCTGTTAACGTCAAGGGGCTTTGGCTACCTCTCTGTCCTGCCAAAATATTTTCTCTTTGGCAGATGGGGAAGCCTGTCTTAAGTGTGTAGTGGTTTTCTGGGGGAAATAGAGAGCCGGGCTCTTGACCTGCATCAGCCTGTGCAGATACCAAATTGTCACTAGCCTTCATGCCCTTTTTCCTCTCAGAGACTAACTTTGGCTTAAACAGTCCAGAGCTCAAGGGTTTAGCTCGCCACTGCTTTTCTAGTCCATTAAAAGTTCTTGCAGCGGTCACCGTCTGAGTGAATGTTCCCATACAGCATCTAACAGCATCTCATGATTAACCCGGGTGTTACTGAGGGCTGCACAAGAAGCGTTGTGTTCTCCTTTGTGTACTTTTTGCTAATTTTCAGTTGGTTTATTTAAATTTTGCAGATGGAAGCTGAAGAGGAAGGGGCAAAAAAACTGTCAGAAGTAAACTTTGAAAATTTACCTCCCAACTACCATAATGAGTCCAATACAGAAACCAGAATTGGTAACAAGACTGTTCAGACTCATCAAGAAATTGACAAGGTATGAGCAAACACGTATAGCAAGCTGCTCCTTCTTACACAACCTTTTCTTCAAAAATAAAAAACATTTTGCACATTTTGGGGAGAAATAAGATAATTTGGAGCATAAACTTTCCTGATGGTAATTACTTGGTGGTTTTATTGTATCTTATTTGCTTGTCTAATGACTGTGTAAGGGCACACGTCATAAAAGGTTAATGTGAAATAATAATTTATTTTTAAAACTGCTTGCTAAAAATAGAACACAGGTACAACTATTGCATGCGTCATAAAGGAATTACCATCTCCTGTTCAGTTAGCTTTATTACAGTGACATTTTAAACAGATACAGAGGTAGCCTTGTCATCTACTTTCCCCCCTCAGATTAAGATTTTATACAAATGGCAGCAAAATGGGGAAAAAAAAGACGAGGTGGGTGTGGGTTAATTATTGCAGAATGTAAGACTGAGGCTAACAAAGGACTAATAAAAAATGTAGTTTGATATTTTGTTCTTTTGTTGTATCAGGTTACAGATAACAAAACTGGATCAACAGTTTTTTCTGAGACAGTTATTACATCTATAAAAGATGGAGAAAACAAAAGAAATCATGTAAGTGAATACATTTTTTCCTTTTGAATATTAAACAAGTATTTTGGTCTCACGACTCAGAAAAACATGATATAGTTCACCTAGTGAAATTTCTGAATGCTTTAAAACACACAAAGCCATTAGGGGTAAGCAGTCAAAAATGTTGGGTTTTTTAATTAAGATGCTTCTATTAATATATAATATATTAATATTATTAGTAAAATAAATACTATTCATTATATCTATTGTAATACTGTATTTCAAATTATATTTTATTATGAATTGAAAGCAGAATTTCAGTGTTGCAATTAACTAAGGTGCTTGATCTGAGTATTCAATTTGTCTGTCAAATGTAAATATTGTACTGAAATAGCAAAGATAGTTACACAGCCTTTTCCAGTGAGCATGAATAAACCCTTGGTATAACAGTGCTTAATGTATGTCCTCTCTGTGCTTTTGGATTTCATAAAAAAATTGCTTTATGGACTTCTAACAGACTTCTAACACTAGAAAATAAACCCCAAATTGTCTGTCGTGAGGATTCTGTGGAACAATATATGCTTTTCAGTTATGCTTTTCAGCCTAACCCAGTAATGGACAACTGGTTGTGAAATGTCACTGTGGGGAAGGGGAGAGAGGCAGGACAATAGATCCCACCTCCTCTCAGAAAATACGGTTGTATAGGGATTCCCAAAAGTGTTTCAAAGTTCAAGAATATTCTTTACTTGAGTCTTGCAAACACAGGTACCTTTGCTAAACCTCAGCAGTTCCATGAGAAATTCAGCATGTACCACTACTTAGAACAACTGTTAGGATTTCTTCGGTTACAGCCTTACCGAAACGGACTTTTTGATGCTTTTACTAAGACAGGACTTTCCAGTGTTTCCTCTGCTGACTAATAGTTTGTGGTTTAGTTTAGCTTAACATGCCCTGACTTTTTTTAGAGTAACTTTCTTCAAGTTCTCTCACAGAAGCAGCTCTTTAACTATTTTATAAAACTTAAAAAAACCCAAAAATCATGGTGGTCACTCTTAATGGACATAAAACGTGAAATTAGTGCATCTTTTGTGCTATAAAACTCTTAACTAAGTTTTCTCTCTTTCAGCTCATATTTTTATAGTGCTATTAAAGTTTGAGAATGGCAACTAGCAAAATGAAGTTGCTTGTGTATGCCATACACATCTTTTTTCTTTACTGTTTTGCAAAGCACATAGATTAAGTGGTAAGTCAAGGTACAAAATAAATTGCAACTGTTCTAACCTACAGATTGGTTTTATACAAAGTGTTAACATATTCCACAATGCTTTTTAATAACATGATGTGTGTAATGAAGGCAATCCAAATGTTTTTTTTTCAAGCAAATATGATCATGATCTTCAAACCCAATGTACAAAGGCAAACCTTTCAACCTTCTTAGCACTGGGACACAACACTGGTGTTTTTTCATAATGTATTTGGCTTGCTTGTGGTGTCTAATCATTCTTCACAGCTGTAAAAAATATTTCTAGGATAGCTTTCTCCAGTGATCATACAATGTTCCTTGTAAGCTTCATATATCAAGTGACATTATCTGCATTTTCCTTATGGGAAGGTTGCCTCACCAAGAAAATGCTGTATCCAGAACCAATACCACTATTAGTCTTCCAGCTGAAGAATTTGAGGGCTGAATACAAATTTTTGTCAAACTTCATGGTGGCAGTATTTATTCAGTTATGAAGTAAACAAAATCAGAACTGATCACATTAACTCCTAATCATTTAGGGGCGCTTTCTTCATCAACATCCTGACTGTGGCAGCTGCTGAAACAAAACTACATTTGTTAATGTTTATTTCCCCTCTCACACTTATTTTGAACTTTCAGCATGCCCATGGTACAAACACCTTATTTAGAGGTTGCCAAGTTAGAGAAAAAGCTAAATGGGAAAAGCAACCAACAGATGTATTTGGTTGTTATTTAAGGAGGGTGGGCAAAACCATGCATATATTAATTTGACTAAGGAAAGCCTAACAGAAGTAAATCTGAAAATAGTTGAAAACTTTAAATGTTAAGGGGGAATATGAATTTCTTAGGGTACTACAAAGGTGAAGAATTATTGTAGGAGTAATGGCATGAGATTGAGAATTGGAAAATTTAAGTTGTGGCAAGAAAATCATGCTGCCAAGGGGAAATGTACTAAGTGGAAGAAAAATTTGGTCCCAGTTGAAAAGCAGTATTGCTTAGATCTGTAAACTTAAAACAAAAGTATTCGGAAAATGAGTTGCAGAAAAGTGTTGCGCTGGCCCATTAGGTCAATTTTATATACATAAATTTTCATAGTTGAAATGTCATGTGACATTGTGGAATGTCCCAACCACTTTCTAGGCTGTGGGCTTCCCAGACCACTGGATGATAGAAGAGTAATTCTGCTTCTTATTTTAAATGTTAGCAGCAAAGTAATACATGTATTACTTCGTCTTGTATTTTCCAGGCAGTTTAAAATGGAAACCTTTTGAAATCTTTGTGGAGATTATCTCAGTGAGCTGCTAAATACAGTTAGTATATGCTGCTCTGTAATATACATCCGTAATACCCATTAGTGATTCATCCTGCTGTGTAGTATAGTGCAACAAGAGGTTTGTACAATTGTAGCTGTAAGTATTGACAGTTATTTGAAAAGGGCAATACTGACACTTTGTTCTGGGGATGGAGAATTTGGTAGCAGAGGCTGTAGGGAGCTAGCCAGTGAGAACAGGACCTCTGTTCTGGTGGCTACTCCCATAGCCTTCAGATTGGTGCCTCTTTAGAAGAGCATTTTTGGTTTTATTTTCAGTTTGCCAAGTAAAAGAAATAGGCAGTAGTTATCACACAAGCTTAACTTCTATGCTTGTAGAGAAACCGAATACTGAAAGAGTTAAAGATTCCCACAGCTCCTGCTCTTCAGGTACAAAATTGGGTGGTAAATACAAGAATTCATCAAACACCTCAGCAAACTACCTGCTTTGCAATGTGAACTATGTAACTGGAACCCTACGACCCTCAGTTTGTATTTATTCTCTGAGCTGAGTTCAAAGCCGCTGAAATCACTGAAAGTTTTTCCAGTGAAGTTTTTGGGCTTTGAGACATGACACAAAGGCCTCCACAGGTGGGCAAAGATGTGTCTTGCGATGGTTCTGTGTTGTAATAGTAAATCCACTTACTGGCTGGAATGAATTTGGCAATGGGGAAGCAGCTTCATGGAAAATAGGTTGTGTCTGCTTTTAAATCACAGTGCCTGTGCCACCCCTATGTCCTCCTGCAGGAAAGCCTCCATAGGTGGGCAAAGATGTGTCTTGTGATGGGTCTGTGTTGTAATAGTAAATCCACATACTGGCTGGAATGAATTTGGCAATGCAAAATGGGTTGTGTCTGCTTTTAAATCACTGTGCCTGTGCCACCCCTATGTCCTCCTGCAGAAAGGTAAAAATACCCACACATATATAGTGCATATAAATGCACATAAGTATATACACCTACATACAGTGCTGATATACTATTTCAGAAACATAAGGCATAATCTTCCCCACGCACACGCTTTTCCCTCTCAGACAATATTTCTTCTTGGCTTTGCATCACAAAAGTATTCTCTTTAGACTCACTTGACGGTATTTTGGTGGCCAGAAGACTCTGAGTATTTTAAGTCTCCAGAAGAGGAACTGGGCTGCTTGCCATTCCTGGCAATGCAATCCAGTTCTTCAGAGGTGCTGCGTTATTTGGAGGCGCCATTTGCATTCCCAGACTAACATTCAGTTTCTCAGATGTCAGTGAGGACTGACAGTCACCAGCGGAGATGTCAGGCTTTGATCCAACAGTCTTGTATCTTTAAAGAGGCCAAATACAGGCAAGAGGTAGCTGGATGTGCACATTTTAATGTAATGTCTGTGCAGGGTTTTACAACCACTTGCTCCTGGGTTTGAGGCCCAAATATTCTATAATTTACTTCTTTGGGGAACGTTAGTTAGCTTGAAAATTAATAGAGTAATTTCAGTAGTAAGCTCAAGTGTAGAACACAGGTGAATGTTTTCTGGCTTGTTGACTAGTCCTATTTCAGTTGTGATACATTAGCCTAATGAATGAAAAGCATCAAAAATAAAAGGAAGCAATAGTAACAGCACTCTTTATTACCATATGAAAATGAATATGTTTTCTGGCTTGTTGACTAGTCCTGTTTCAGTTGTGGTACATTAGCCTAATGAATGAAAAGCATCAAAAATAAAAGGAAGCAAAATTGGTGCTGGTAAGGTTTGCTGCACAAAGATCAGATGCATTTCTTCTCAGTTGCATTCAGAGTAGCATTTTATGGAAGCTCGCTCTTCTAGTTCAAAGCTGGCTTACTGAAGATGGTTTTTTATTGTCTGTATTAATTTGATAAGTAAAAATAACAACAGCTTCTCTTTAGCAAGGTTTTGGAGTTTTTTTCCAAACTTCCATAGAACTGCATCTGGTTGATTTCAATTCTCTTTCAAAAAAGAGATTTCTAAAGATGCTAGTGTCTAGGCAGGGTGTACCAGGGAGCTGGAAGAGGATCATGCATTTCTCATTTGACTTTGGCACTATATAAAGTTTTTCTTTCTTTTGTCTGTTCTTGATGGTAGAGACTCTTGAGGGCTTGACCGTGCCTTCTCGTTAGTTACACAGTACAGGTCTAAGTTTCTTTGTGGGGGAGTAAGGAGAGGTGCCTTCAGTGTGATTCTGTGCAAGGTGCTTCCTCTTTCTTTGTGAAGGTGGGTGTGTGTGCCTGTTTGCACACATCTGTTTGGCTCCCACCTTCTGTAAATACAGCAGCGGGTTAGGAAGTCATTTCAAACACTCTTCAGGTCCTTAGGAGAGAGGCCCCAGGATACCAGGCCTTTATTTCCATGGTTAGGGACTGCTGTTTGCACCCCTGCAGCTCTGGGCAGGGAGAACTGTATCGCTCTGAAACTGCTTTTACAAGCTGATTTGGCAGGTTCTGGACGTGGCTGTCAGTCAGGTCACTGGTTTATTTGTAGAGATAGAATGGATA